GCTGGCGCTCCGTCCTAGCCTCCTGGGCCTTCGCCTTCCGCGCCTCCTCCGTAGGCGCCTTCGCCGAATTCCGCGCCGAAGTCGTAGACGCCGCCCTAGCCATCCTCGCCGTCGACTTCCACGGCCTAATTGAACGCTTCGACTTCGAAGAACGCCGCGAGTGGATCCAGGGCGTCGTAGCCTGCGTCGTCGGTGCCCTAGGCATCTTCAACGAACGGTGCATCGCTTCCGGCGTAGATGAAACGAGCACTCTCCGCGCACTCGGCGACCGCCTCTGCAACGTCAAGGCGCTCCTCTGGAGCAGCCAAAAGTTCGCCGGCCTCCTAGACACACTCTCCGAAGACGCCGCCGCAACAGCCACCGCCGACCGACGCCTGGCTCTCGACCGCGGCGGCCCGCCGCTCGAGTCGAGCGTGCCCGTAGTGTTGTTTGAGCACTACCTGAGCAACGGCAAGGAGACACCCAGCCGGCTGCGCGCAGACTTGCGCGAGTGGCGCTACCTGCTCATGCTCGCTGTCGTCAAGGCCTTCACGTCGCTCAAGGGCCACCAAGCGAACGTGTACGCAGCAGACACGCTACTGTATCTACAGTTCTTTGAGTCGCAATTCCTAGTGGACTTAATCCTCGCTTTCCAGGACCGACGGACGCCCGTGCACACACACCTTTGGAAGCTGGCCGCACTGTTGCTGGACGTAATGGGCACCTGCGTGGGCAGCATTCCACCTAAGAGCGCAGGCAGTCCGCCGCCGAGGATCGGCAAGCCCGCACCCGGCGCCGTGTTCCTGGCGAGCAACGTGAGTAGCGAGAACTCGCTCTGGCAAAAGGCACTCGTCGTCTGTCTGCACCGCGCGTTCGACGAGTCCGGGAGCTACGCCGCGCCGACCAAGAACAATCTCGCCTCAGCACTCGTGGAAATTGGGATCCGAGCCGTCTACGCCTGCGTCACGCGGGAAGGCGCTATCCTCGCATTGCCCAAGGCCTTCGTCGGCGATGATGCCTCACCGTGGGGCCTCTGGATGGCCGGCGCCGGTCGAGACTCGCTGCTCTACCTCTGTCCCGTCGGCTCCGGCTGGAGCAAAAAGCTCTGCCGCAACGAACGCGAGTTTTTGTGGACCAGCAAACCCGAGTACGTCCCCGACGTGAGCATCACGGCGCCAGGACCCGGTCCGGGCAACGCAACGCTTAACACCAACGGACGGCCCGCGACGAAGAACCGCGCCGACTGCCGACCCAATCGACACCCACTCATCGTCGACTTCATTCGATGGGCGGCGCTCCATCTCGAAAGCCCTGTCACCAGCCGTTTCATCGTACCCATCATTTGTGCCCTTGCCGCCATGGAGCCTGAAGACTTCAGCAAAGTGCTCTGTCAGAGTGAAGGCGACGCCATCACTCTCAGCTACCTCATCGCGGACCTCCTCGTACTGCCCAAGACTCGTAGACATGTCCGGGGTCGAAATGGATCCGGGGCTAAGGAGACGGGTCTGCAGGACACGAGAACCCTCGTTGCGCCGTTCCGTCCCAGCTATGGCACCGACATTTGGCTCTTCGAACAGGTCTTGCTGGAAACGATGGTCCCCTATGGGCTTCATGCTGCAAGACTTGTTGACATCGACGCGCCTTCGCACCTCGATACCTGCGAGACCTTTGCCACCGTCAGTAGCGCGCTCCAAACCTCCCAAACAGACTCGGACTCTTTGTGGGCGGACAAGACTCCCTTCGTGATTGAAGCGACGCCGTCCTGCAAGCATCCTTCCGCCTTTCCGGTCCGCTTCGTCCCGCCGTCCGTCAGTGTGATTACAGAGTTCTCTCTCGCGCCGCAGGTCACTCCCAGGCAACGACTTCTAGACATGCTGCTTGCATGCATCCATGCTATTCAAGGCGGCGCCACATTCCAGAAATATCCTTGGCTCCCTCATCCAGTTGAAATAATGCTTGGACTGCGCTCTCTATCAGTTTGTTTGTCCAAACGATATCTATTCTCGCCGGTCAAGAGTGAAGTTCTGGAGGCCTTGCGGTCAATTGCGGAGGAAGATGTTCTCGCCTACTGCTCCTCTGGAAACAGTATCAGCGTGGACGAGATGAAACATACAATTGAACCGTTTGTGAGGCAGTCACTTCAAGCCGCAGAATTATTGGCCTGCTGCCTATCTCATAAGACTTTAGCGCCACCTGGTTCACCTCCGGCTGCGGAATTTCCTCTTCGCACACGTGTGTGCAACTTAGTTCGAGCGCGCTTAGATATTGACCAAGAGCCTTTAGCTCGACCGTGGCTGGAAACCGTGGACCCTTTATGTCGCCCGGTGGTTGCTAAGTGGTTGGTGGGCCAGGCGCGGCTGGCGGTCGCCGAAATCGACGCTCTCGTGACGGGAGATGCGAATATCTGCGCAGAATGCCCCACTGCTACATCCTGCGTTCAAGTGGGGGATGATGACATCGACCTTATGCGGCGTCTCGTTGGCGTCGTCCGGTTTTGCAGGCACCTGGCGGCCACGGATGAAAACGGGCAAATTCGAGTTATTGCTAAAGTCGATCGGTCATATCGACTTCTAGCCGACTCGGCAGAGCCGGGCTGGCTAGTGACTTACCAAAACATGTTTGGTTATCTTGTTCTCCAAATTCTCTTGGCCCAAATGTCCCCCATAACGACGTGTCTAACGAAAGGAACCGTGCTGGCCAATTTTGCCTCGCGTCACTCTCTGCCCTTAGCGCGAAGCTTATCAAACCAGCTGTACAGGTAATCTCACCCCCCCCCCCTCCCCTGACACCCTCCCCTCCTTCCCGATCTCCTCAAATGGTGCTGTCTGTGTTAGTATCAAATCAAGTACGTCTAGTAACATGGAATTTGTGTCCATGGCGTGTGTTAGGCTTGGTTTATTCTCGGGAGTTCAATTGTACAGATTCACAGCCATACTGCGAGAACTCATTTTGCAACCGGAGGTGATGCCTGAGAATGTCCTGACCACTCGCGAAGAAGCACAAGACCTGCTGGATACTTTAAGCAACGCCCATCGACTGCTTACATCCGTTGTCCACAATGCAGACCTGACGGCTAAGTGGGATTACATACGGTTGACCGAGAACGCTCTTTCAGCCGTGCTGGAGCGTGTGGCAGTGCTTGTTGTTGAGGTCGATAAAGAGTTTCTATTGCGGCAACTCAGCGAAGGAGCCTGACCACTGACCAGCCTAACCTCGGAACCCAGAGTTAGACGGGTCTAGAACGCCTATATTGGTGCTGGAAAAATACACCAGTGTGTCCACACACGTAGGAAGTAGCTGCCCACGTATGTGGAAGGCAGACAGCCCGTGCGTGCAGCACGCAACCCGTGACGGCAATAGAGACATAGAAGGCCCCATTCCGTTGTGGTCTCGCTGATTTGTTTGTACCTTCTGGTTTTCGTCATCTAGCTAGCTAATAAATAAACCTTATGAAGGTTGTATAAAGGTGACATTGGCTTGAGCCTTGTCCACGTGCAGACTATCTCGTCGGTTGGAACAGTTGATGAGGGACTGGGACGGAATGGATGATACAGCGGCTAGGGCAAGCACATTCTCGCTGGGGTCCATTACATACACATCGTCTGGCGCCTGCTTTCGTAGTAGGAGGCGGCCATCTTGGAGTCCTTCCACACGGATGAGGTTCATGGGATGGCTCTTAGCGCTGGCCATGTCGAAGAACATGTCGAAAATCTGGAGGTGGTCTCGGTTGTCACCAAGGTGGCCACCCATCGGCAGAGAAGCCAAGATGTCCAGTGCCAAGCGTTTTCTGTCAATCCTTGTCTTGTCACCAATGGGTTTGTTCTCGACGTCAATGGCATCTAGATTGTTGGCATCTAGGTTAGTGTTTACATCGGGACGGTTGCTTGTGTCTGATTGAGAGGAGTCCGACTCCTCATTCCTCGCTCGTCTGTCTGTCTGTGGTTGTCGAGGTTGAGCTTCCGACTGTATGAGGGCTTTAGTTCGTCCTGCGCGGAACCATAGAGCGAACGACCTGTCTTCATAGACGTTTCCGCACCATGAGTCCAAGGCGTTCAAGACGACCAAGTCCTTTGTACCGGCTGCGACTAGTCCCAGTCCTGCCAGCGTTGCATTTAGTGCGTGGTCATGGACGGCCTCGGAAATCCCACAGAGCCGTGTCCTACTCAATTCCCCCAACCAGACCATCGTATCCGACACGCCGTAAACTAACTCCGAAGCAACACTATGCAGCCAAGTACCAGCCTCCAAGATGAACTGCGTAGCGACCGTGTTGTCCATTCCGGTGAACTTCAAGCCCAGCAAAAAAGACGTGGCGGCCACCAGAGCCATGTGCAACGACAGTAACTGCTGGCTCGACACACCCTCCTTCTCCAGTGGCTCTCGTTGGAACTCCAGTCCCTCCCGAATAACCCGTTCATTCAGATCCTGGTCGTCCAAATCCTCATCCTCTAGATCTTGGTGGTGATCACCCAGTTCCTGGCTCCCCGGCTTCTGGTCGCCTACTGTTTGGTTCTTAGATTTCTGGTCGTCTGCCGTCTGCTCGTTCAGGTTTTGGCCGCTAGGAAAAGCTGGGCCCTTCCCGGGTGCCAACGCTTCGTTCAGGAAGGGAACGGGTGGAAATCCCTGGCTGTCCTGTGCAGTTCCCATATTCGTTTCGTCCATGGCCATAGCGGTCACCTCGTCGTGTCCGGTCATGGCGGTGACATAGCTGCTGACATCCTCGCGACTGGTCTCCTCATTGCCGGGTGGAGCAACGAGACAGACGGAAGACCTCCCTTCAGACATGCCCACGTCCCCCAAACAGGTGTCATCGGCACTGGCCTCCAAGGTATGGGTTTCCTCTAGGCGCCCTGCATCGATCGGGGGTTCACCGGTCCCCGCTAGGAGACTTTCCGCAACGGCAGTCATGCGTTGCCGGAGTATCTCGCATCCTTCTCGCAGCAATTCCGCGTGTTGCAGCGACAGTAAATCCGGCTTGGGCGACTCCTTTCGCAGTCGGTATCTGCGCTTCCGTAGACCCAGCCTCTCCTGGTAGAGACCGTACAGCGGCGAGGTTCGGATCAGAGGATGGTCCTCCAGGCCGTCCACTGTGATGTCCAGCAGAGGGATGTAAACAAATTGCTTCAGGTCGTCCGCATTAATAAAGGTCCAATTAAGCAGACCCCACGTCACACACCGCAGCAGCACAGCCTCTGCGTTACGCAGTAACAACTGGTCGTCGAACAACAAGGGACGCGTCACTTCCGCAATCCTCCAATCCGACGCGGCCCAATTCAGGAATCCGACACCCCAAATGAACAACTGACTCCGTTCCATCAGCAACCGGAAGTTCGTCTCCTGGCCTATCGTTAACGTGCTGCCGAGAGAACTATCCTCCCAATCCGGAGCAGTCCCATCTGAAAAGTGTAACTCACAATACCGCTGGAAGAACGCCCACTTGAACAAATAAAGCTCGTCGTAACTCGCGCTCCGACCGTCCGAAAGACGACTTTCACAAACGCGACTTTCCGAAAGAACACTTTCACAAAAGCGACTTTCAGAAAGACGACCATCCGAGAGACGACCGTCCGATGTGCTTCGGCTTGGCTGCATGTGTTTGCTCAGAGTCGTCAATGGCGGCTCGCAGGCAGCAAGGTGAATGCCCAGGGCTGCTCCCAGAATGGTGGTCTGACGCTTGGTCGCCTTTAGGGCTTCGGTGTGTAATTTCTTGTACCAAGAGATATGGTCGGTGTTCAGGTCGTGACAGTCGAGGTTGACCAGATCAACGTTGTTGTGCGGCTCGTGCATGAGGTACTTCAACTCCTCCAGTAGCCGGTACGACATTAGAACGCTCATGCTGGCACCCGTCGATCTATGCAGAGCCGCACACAAGTAGACCGTGGAACGCAAAGTACTCAAGTCGTATTTGCGGTGCAGCTGCATCAAAAACGACCCTTCGTCGCTCGTCGAGCGTCCAGCGGCCTGCCGCTTACACCTGCCTCGCCCTGCGACGTGTGCCGTGTCCTCCTGAGGTTCTGCGCTAACCCGCTGAGGCTCCGGCCGAGCCCCCTGCGGCTGAGTCCCCTGCGGCTGAGTCCCCTGCGGCTCTGCTCGACCATCCTCGTTGGAGTCACAATGTGGTGGCCGAGGAGGCGAAAGAACTCGCTGTAAGTTAACCATACCACTGGCTATGCCATTGGCCCTTAGCGTGCTCGTGTTGTCGGTATGTTCTGCAGCAGAGAGGTGGCTCCCGGTCGGTTGCACAGCGTCAAGATTTCGGTTGTTCAGGTCGAAGCGTTTGCCGGCTTCAGAAAGCCGTGCGCAGCCGCCTGCTTCCTGTTCGACCCGGTCTCCAGTCCTGGGGGAGAGTCTGCCAGCGAGGGAGATGTAATGCGGAGGTGAGTCCAGATCTTCGCCCAGGTCGACCTGATTGCAGGGGCATTCGGCATAGGACTTGGAGTTGCAGGTACCGAAAAGTATTTTTGCAAAGTCGTTGGGATCTGCGAGTCCGGTGATAGCGTAGGCAAGCAGTAGCGATATACATAGGTAGTTGACCACAGGACTTTTTTTGTTTTCGACGTTGTCATGGTACCAATCCAGTTCGTCGGAGTGGTCGAGGATTCCATCGAGTATGTAAGCACCATTCTCCGTGAGTCCACTGAGGAAGGTCTGGTATTGACCGATGGGTATGAGTTTGAGATAGTACAGAACGTGTTTAACGGAAGGGACGAGTTGTTCCAGTTCTTTTGTACGTCCTGCGACGGCATAGCCGATAAGGGCGCCAGAAAGGTAGTAAGCAAGACGTAATTTGGCCCAGAGACAGCAGGTGAGGACGTCTCCGGAGATGTTCTCCTGTTTCAGTGCGTGGTTGATCTTGCCCTCGTAGATCTCGGACCGTGTGTTGTGACTGAATTCAAATAGCTTGGTTAAAGCGCCCACCTCCGGAAACGTCCGCAGTCGGTAGAGTGTGAGCAGCTGGTCCACCGTCAGACTTACTGAGCCGACGGAGGCTGCGGCGGCATTCTTGCAACCGCATAACAGATCCAGGAACAGGTCCAGCCGATTGCAGGGGCCGTGCTTTCCCCACGGGAATCCGATCTGGTTCGCATCCGTAAATTCTGCCCACGGAATGTTCATTAATTGTGAGAAACGCAAAGACTGACCGGCCACGCCACCCCCCGGTACCTGAAGGAACTTGTAGGCTGCGGCCTTGTTCACAAGCCGTATTACACTCGACCACGACATCGAGCTCGCCACTGACTTCAGAGCCTCGTAACACTCCGTTATATTCCGATCATGCAACCACCAACTTGTCGACCGCTCCCGGGCTCCCAACACATCACCGTTACTGACTCCTGATAAGCTCCAATGCTGATTCAAAAGCAGGTAATCGAACCGCGAATACAAATAACAATAAACTCGCCGACTCAACTCCGTAGGAAGAAATTCTCTATAAACCAGTAATGAAAAGTTCTCAATCAACTCCGATGGAACCGAAAGATGCCTCGTATTGTAAAGATAAGCCAGCTCCTCTAACACTAACATTATTTCATCCAAACATTCAGCTTCTGGGGCAGTTGACTTCTCCTCCTCCTGCGACAACGCCAAACCCCATTTGTCTAGAACTGCCAGCAAATAAAATAAACGAGTAAAACTATCCACAGAACTCCAGTTCACATTCTTCTTCCACCAAACCTCATCTGTCCTCGATCTATTATTGTTTCCCCCCGGTGGATCCAAGTTATTGAGCCAATAGAATTCTGACGAAATTTCGTTGTCAGTTAAACCAGTATCGATCAGTCTCCTGGCTATAGCATACATCTCTAGGCCCGGGATCTGATGGTCCGGGATCTGATGGTCCGGTATCTGATGACTCATGTCTCCACTAGATCTCGTTTTTTCGTTGGTCCACTTAGTGGGATCCGGCGGGGATATAACGCCGGATCTGGTTAGACGTGACGGCACTAGCACTAACTTAGTAAGTTCCGGGTCGCCATTGACGCTACTTGTGATGATACCATCAGCATTTCTGGTTGTAACAATGAAGCCTAAAGGGGCCGGGCCGTAAGCTTGGCCCTGGATCACCCTCAGCACCTGACCAACGACCCCCTCGCCATCCGGTCGTGATATTATATCAGATGACTCGTACACAGATTGAATCACAAAGACTTCCTTAGGAGGTGAGAGGCCCGCGGGCAGTCGGTCTTCAATGTCCTTAAGATCTAACAACTCATCTGTAACCTCCCGTCGGGAGATAACACCCCTGCTAGACAACTCCACTATACTCAGACTTGTTTGGACAGGACAACTTTGCTTCTCCTCCCAATACAGCAAACACAGATTGCGGGGATTCCAGTAGACCCTTAGAGACTCGGGGGGTCGGTTCGGTTCCGGTAGACAAACATACTCCTGTGTCGAAAGACCAAGAATGTGCAGACGGCCATACCCATGTATCCACAGTATGTTTCTGTCCCAAGATATCAGCCATGGGTTGGCGGCTGTAGCGGGCGCAGGGCCTGTAGCGGCTGCATCATTCCTGGTTGGCTCGTGATAAACGGCTGAACTCTCACTACCTTCCACAGAAATATTCAATAGCGCCTTGCCTCTCATATCCATGCCGAAAATACCGTGCTTGGAAACCAAAAGGACAACCGCGGCATAGTCGTCTCGAATCAAGTACACTCGCTCTACCCTCCAGGGTAACGTGCGCTTGTATGGTTGCTGGCATATATGCCTCAATACATCAGGATCCTTATCCAGCCTATTGGTACCCATTTCCCGCCTCCCAACAGATCGGATCTCCTGCAGGGACGTCTTCCTTCGGGCAGAATCATACTCCTCCCCCTCAACACCCATATGGCGGGTGGCTCTTGATTCTGGTTCAGCGGCACCGCGTCCTGGCTGAGTTAAATTACACGGGGATGGTAAGCTCCCCAGCAATCTCCTCGCAGCTTCGGTAAATCTCAGAGCCGTCGAAGTACTACAGACACTGGCAGCCGGTTGAGACATTGATTTTGGGGGTCCAGAATCAAGTGGTCCTGAACTAGTGGTCGCTTGTCCCGCATTTTCCCAGGCATCATTCCCATCAAGTCTTGACGATGTTTTCGACCAGGTTTTTGATGATTGTAGGTTGAGCACACGCGTGTGCGACGCGCTAGCAAAAGTATGTCTTGTCTCATAGGCATGAAAATAGATTGTCTTGTGGTCCTGAGATAGCCACGCAATTAAGGTACCAAAGAGACCATGTTGGATGATACAATCGCTACCGCAGTCACCCACTGACAGATCGGATATACATTTTAGTTTTCTCATTGGACTTTATTTTATGGGTTTGTTTAGCAGAAAGAAAGTGACCAATGACGAAGCTGACCGAAAGGATTTAAGTATCAGGAATAGGCCCAATCAATTGGGACGACCAACGCCTCAGGCGTCGGTTCCCCCGCGACGGCTGGCACCTCAAGCACCGCTAACTTTGGTTAGTGCCTCTACACCTGGAGGGCAAGCACGGCTGAGCTTTCCAACGCCGGGTGGAGTTATGAGCCGCCCTGTGGGGAACTACAGCCCATCAGCGCTGGATCATCCCTCAGTGAGCGATCATACGTCAATAAGAAAGGTGACTGCAGTGAGAGAGAATTCTTCCGTGGCAGAGAATTCCTGCCTGAGAGAGAATTCTTCGGTTAATAATCGTTTACAGGCGAGAGATCACTTAAACGGTCTTCTGTCCCGATCTGTAGACTCAAGCGGCCGTGGGCAGCGGCCGTGCGCAGCGAGTCAAGAGGTACGATTAACAGGATCTCAGCCACCCCCATTGTCCAATGCTTTGCAATCGGGGCTGGGGGGACCGCAAGCACCACCGATTGGTGACGCCAAGTCAGACTTGGGAGTACGAAGTACTCGAAATCTGTCACCATCCGCAGATTTATCCGTCAAGGACGGGTCAGTGTGTAGGTGGACACCACAACCCCTGGAGGAGGGCAAAAAGGCTTCGTTAGTGAACGCGGATCATATGCCGCACACCGATCAGTTTACCCGAGGATATGTGAACAGGGAGTTGAAGGATTTCCCATATTCTGCAATGCCAACATTCCACATGAAGCAGAGGCGTTTGCGTTCGATACAAGTTATATCTTACACCCACGCGCCGGAAGCCCCGGTTTCGCCGCGGAAGGGGTGTTTGTCTCCCAGGAAGTTTGAGAGATCCACCTACGACGAAGCCGTGATGGCTGTGGTGATATGTTTGTGCAGTACGATCTCGGCACATCTCATTGTGGGGGACTTGATTCAACTGGACCAGACACGATGGGTGCAAGGCTTAGCCAAGTCCGCGGCGGTGTGCTTGGCCGTGTATACGACTGTGCGTCTAGGGCTGCCTCAGCTGGCATACAACGTGATGAAGTTACCTTTCAGACTATACGGGATATGGGCGGGAAGACGTGCTGGAGATGGTGTGCAGAAGGAAGTGTTTCATCCTGAGACGGTTCTCACAACTGCAGGTCCTGGAGAGGCGAGTGCTGCTGGAGACGAATTGACTGACGCTGGCTTTATGAGCGGGTCGGGTGTCATGAGTGACGCCGGATGCTCAGCTCGCGTCAGCTCCAACACCAACGCTGGAACGCGACGGTCTGCCCACTGGTCGACCGTGGATTTTCGCTATGATGCTGGTCCGTCCCCCGCTGAGTGCAGGCAAGGCCTCTTAACTGAGAGTACGAAAGCTTTCTATGCCTACAGAACCCTGGATGGGTCTCCTCTTGGCACCAACGACCCGATTGTCTTCACCAACTCGCTGACTGACTCTCAAGAGAACACTGTCGTTGACCGGCAAATATACTTCAAGCGGACGGCTGGGGGGGTCCCCCTGGAATCTTCCAGAACGTCTCGTAGCAGGCCGGAAAGTGAGCACGAAATCCCTCTGGAAGGAACCATATCCTCCAGTTTACCGTGCAGAGTAGAAGGGCGGATTCGAGTCACGGAAACACCTCAAGTCTAGCACGGAGACACCTCAAGTCTAGGACTGACTTCGTCACACTCCACTGACTCTCAGCTAGACAACCCAAGCAAGAACTTGACACCAGATAGTTAGATAGCATCGAACGAACTCTTTGTCGCCGTGTATTGAGCTACGAAACAACCATTGCATTACCGATGTAACGGGTATCGCAATAGTACTGTCGGTCAAGATAATGACCGACGCATCGGCTAGCAGTTCCACTCGTCTGATATACTGGGGTCTCATTGGCTAGTCTAGTCGGCTAGCTAGATGGTCGGCTAGCTAGGTGGTCGGCTAGCCAGATTGATGGGGTCCCTATCGGTTGGTCGTCCTCATATTTTTGACTGCCCTCGTTCGAAGCCAAGATGCGGCTTCTTGCAGCCATCACCGTTCCCTGGGTCATCGTTCCCTGGGTGGTAAGAAGTCAGGAGGTAGTCTTCATCAAGACTACCAGTGGACAGTACTTAGTGGAGGATGACTTAGGCGACGTCCGTTTGAGTCCGCTGGGATGTGACGAGGAGTGGTGGAGCCGTGGCTGGAAGGTTGAGAAGAGCGGATATATCGTGTCTGTGACGACTAAGGGCTGTTTGTGCCGGTCATCAGAAGCGAGTTTGCCGACGAACGTGGTCCTTTGTTCTCGAGTGTGTCATGACCGGTGGCAGCTGACGGGAGAAGGGAACTTGTGCCTGGTGGGAACGACGGTGTGTCTGGATTACTATGACCTCGACACGAGTCCCACGGCCCTGATTCTAGACGACCGGATCTCTAATCGCACGGCTACCGCCGGTCTGGTGCGACCGGCGCTACCAACTTTCCAACTGAGTAGACGGTCAGAAAAGGCGCTGGCCACCCAGTGCGACTCATCGCACGCAGATGGTCAATTACAGGCTCACTCAGGGGATGGAGAGCACCGTGACCTTTTAGGTCGTGACCTTTTAGGTCGTGACCTTTTAGGTCGTGACCTTTTAGGTCCTCCGTCATTCTTGCAGGCGGCTGGTGATACCTCTCTGTTCACTCAGGCTGGAGCAGAAATGGACGTGCAGCTGAAGGCGATACAGGCAAAAATCCAGGAGGAGCAAGAACTGGTTGACGACTTGAAGGCTGGAATCGATTCTGTTAGTTCCCTTCTCGAAATGGGGCCCGAAGACATCAAACCTTTCTATGGAATCGGTCTTCTCTTTGAACTATACCACCTGGGAGGGGCCGCGCCATTTCTTAGAACCACGATCAACCAGGAGCTGCTAGCCAACTCCATCATTGAAAGCAATTTAACCCTTCCGGGGGACTCTACGGCCATGGCGGGTGACAGCAGTGATGACTGCGAGGGACCGGTTGCCAGTGTTTCTGCCAAGCTGCTCCGGAAAATCGGGGTGTCGACCAACGGCCAGTATGGCTACAGGGTCAGCGGCACGCTAGCCATACCCCCCTCATCTGCAAGTGGTAGCGCAGTAGGTGGGTCGTCCACTGGGTCTTTTACCGAGTCTTCGGATTACGTGTTCCATGTGAGGCACCTGACGGGGGATTTGAGGATCTACGTCTTCGACCAGTGTGTTCTGAATACGTATATAGGCGAGATGTCATCGGACCAGATGGCGAGTGGTGGGATATATACGGACCCCTTTAGTGTATCGGCTAGTGGTGGGTACATGGTGGATATCCAACTGGTAAGTCAAGGTAAATATTCTACGTCCTACTTCCAATTATGTTTGATGAAGCAACCTTCCGCGACAGACCCAGCCACTACAAGTGCGTCGACGACCGGAATAATTCCAGTTGCGGTGGATACGGAGCAGTTGTACCCCTCGAGTTCCCTACCGGTCTGCGGTTTGAAGAGTCACACCAAGTCCATAACATGCTCTCATTCCTTTTACGACGTGCTCTCAGCAGACACGGTGGCTCAGGTCCTATGTCCTGCCGCCTGCTCCGAAGCTAGCCCTTTACCGAGCTACGGTCACAAGGAGTGTTTGGGTATGAGCGGACCCGTGTGTGCTACAGCTGAGCGACTGGGATTTATCGGCACACAGGGAGGTACTGTCAAGGCTCGTAAGAAGAACCGATATCTGCCGGTCCTTAAAAGAGAAGAGAATCCTGCTGACCAAAGTTCTTCAGCACAGAGTTCTTCCAACTCCGGTTCTAAGGAAAAGACTTCTTCCCCGTTAGATGCACCGAAATGGTTGGAGGGGTCGTCATCCGAAGTTTGTGTGTCTCTTTCAGAACCGGACCTAACTGGTGCGGACTTTGTAGTGACCAATGTGAAGCCGATAGCGTTGAAAGAACTTGACAACAAGGCTGCCGTGGCTGGGGTTTTGACAGACGCAGAAACGCTGCTTAGCTTGGAATATGGCGACGGAGTATCGGCCCAGGCGGTCAGTGACGTAGAGGTGATCTGCGAAGGAGCAGATGATGTGTCTGCCGACTCCGCCGCAGGCATAAATGACCTGGTCAAGGTCAACGACCGGGTCAGCCTCCGGCTCCTTAGGTCCACCAGCTCCTACCCATCGGTCTCGAAAATCTATTTGGACCGAGTAGCTTGGGATGAAGAGCGCCTGGCGTCCAGATCAATCCGGTCGGCGGTGCCCGACTCGACACCCTCTCCTTTGAACGGCTGGTCGAGACTTACTTGCAACGACCAGAGCGTCTTGTTACAGGTTCTCACCAAATCCGCTGCTGTCGACTTCCCCTCCGCTCAACTCATGTGCTCTACGACGTTTAATGATTTATATAACGCGCCAAACGGATCCAGTGGTGCCGGTGGTAGTGGTGCCGGTGGTAGTGGTGGGTCCAGCGGTAGTGGTGATGTGTTGACCACCAGTTTGGTTGTCACGTGCCCAAAAAACTGCCAGGAAGCTGAGCCGCTGGTTTCTGGGTACGTGAGCTATACGGGAGAGTCCCAAATATGCGCTGCGGGAATTCATAGCGGTTTCCTGGGTAAGGAAGGAGGGTACTTACAGATTGTGCCGTCACCCTCTCGTTTACCGGAGGCCTTTGAGGGAGGCGAGCGAGCCGGCATTAAAGCCGTGAAGGTCGCGCCTCTAGGGGAGTCCAGTGCTGGGACCTCGACCTCGGGGCGGGCGTTCATTCTGGACACGCCGAGGGGAGAGCTTTGTTCCTACCCACAGGTGATGGTAGGTGCTTTGTCCAGAGGAAAAGGTTCGGGGAAGTGGCAGTTGCCCAATGGCACGAGCATGTCTCCTCCCTCACCGGACACGAATGAAGTGTTGGAAATGAACGTCGGCGCTTTCCAGCAGACCAGTGGACACACAGTCAGCTCGTCGCTTGTCGAAGTGTCTCCGGAGCTGGTGGAGAAAGCGAGAACGGACTTTGCTGTGTTGTCTGAGGAGATTGCAGACGCTCAGCTGCGACTTCAGGAGCTCCATGGCACTCTTTCTGCGGTGATGGCAGATGCAGTAGGCAACTCTCTGACCCTCTTGAAGCAGCTGGCCAGGCGCACGTCGAACCCGGCGAGCTCTACCGTTGTTGTCGCGGATCTAGTGTCCACTACGTCTATCCAAGAAATCGCCAGCGTCTGGGATAGCTCACAAGTCGACCACGGACCCTCGCGATGGACTCTCGGGCCGTCGGACTCCGGGGTCTTGGGTATCCAGCAGAAGAGTGTAGTCACATCGAGAAACAGCCCTCAATACGGCGCCAACTTGATTTTCAAACAAGGCCCCTACAAAGATCTCTTCTACCAAACGACGGTCCGCAAAAACGGGGGTAAAGCCGCGATGCTCTTCTCCTACTTCTCCCCAACCAGTACGGACTTCCCACGCACCTGTGTTTTCACACACGTGTCTTCTCACACACCGAGTTTTTTCACGCACGTGACTTCGCAGATTACTTAAGCCTGGAATTTGGTGAAGAGGGGACCGTGGAGTTGCGTGAGATGGCGGATGGTACTGTCAGGACACTCACGACGCTGCCCTCGTGCAGAATGAAGACCAGCTTCCAGGCCACCGTAGGTGCAAACGGCAACAGGATATGGGTAGACGTGAACGGCGCGTGCAATGCCACGGTACCCGCCACTTCCAGCAGGTCTTCAGACGCAGCAGGCTTCCTGGGGTTGGCTACAGACGGCGCCTCGGAGCCTGTGGTTTTCTCCGAGATTCGGTTCGGTCCAGAAATTGCTTTACAACAGTTTATGAATGATCAGTTCGTCAATTTGGGTAAGGACCCCCCTCCCCCCCTGCCCCTGGTGATACCCTGGTCATATTATTGCCCTGGTCTGCAAGCATGATAGGTGCATGCCTCCCCATGACGCTTTGTCATCTTCCCCTTGGGTTCACCCGCCATCGGAACACGGCGGGCGTCTGCGGTGACCGGTACTTTATAGATCCGGCATTGACGTCGCTCGCTCAGCTCACTTCGTCGTACCAAGACCCCAAAATGTTTTCGGCTGGCGAGTCGTTCTTCATTGGTCGCAATGACGCTGCGCCGTCAAGCGGGCAGTTATCCACCGGGCAGTTGTTGAACGGTCAGGAGTTAAGTGGTACTACTGTCGGTCAAGTGTCGGGAGTTGGCGGTCTAGCGACTCAGAGTGCGGATTGCATGACGGACGGCGTGTTAACAATGTCGCTGGAGAGTACGGATTGGCTGCGCATGTCTTTTGTGTCGGAGTCGGTGCAGGAGGCGTGGGCGACGGCTGCGGGTGGCGTGGGTGTTGCCGCGAGTCGTCTGCTGCGTGCGGGAGAATCGGCGAACCCCGGGGTAGGAGTGTTATTGGCGACACGGCCCGTGTGTAACCGGGGGTGTGTGACTGTGGAAACGAGTGTGTCGATTAGTTCGGGCACGCAGGCGGGAATGGTGTACGACTTGACAGACGACTTTAACATGCGCGCCGCCTTCATCTCCAACGTCGCTGGGGGCAACGCTGCTGGGGGCACCGTTGCCGCCGTATATCGCGTTCTGGGGGGCGTGGCCGATGTCACACGCGATGCTGTCCCCTCCGGCGCCCGAGACGGCCACTGGCACAATGTCACCGTGCAACTCTGCGAGGCCAACTACGCCGTCTGGGTCGACGGTCTACCCCTCCTGAAAGAACGCGACCGACGACTCAACTACGCCCCCCGCAGAATAGGACTTGGAATCATGACCGGTGCCGCGCAGTGGCGATATTTCAAACTCAGAACCACTTCTCCCACGACCTGAGGGGCTCCCACGACCTGAGGGGCTCCCACGACCTGAGGGCTCCCAACAGCGAACACAGGGCGTATGCAGCAGGTCTTAGGATTGTATAGAAACTTGCCAAACTGCAGGGATCCGTGGGTGGATCGAATGTTTACCAATCGAGGGGTCGAAACAGGAGTGCGCCTGGTGGCGTGCGTGTTTGTTGCGCACACTTGTTTGCACTCAGAAGATTTTAGAAAGATTTTTATTCATGAGGAGTTGTTTTAGCGATACAAGATCGCAGGAAATAGTTGCGTGTCTGGCTCTATGTAATGGTTGCGGCAGGGGGGACGCAGCCATGTGGATGGAGACGGAGCAGGTATTTCGGCACGCGGGTAGGAAAGAATTTGATAGGTTGCGTGTGCTGCGTTTTCAGAAGATCAAGAAGCCTCTTTTACGTAATTGCCCGGTGAGTGGATTAATGATGGTTGGCCCGAACAAGATTATGGTTTGGCGTCCTGTGAAGTTGGAGGGTAATCCCGAGCTGAGTGACCTTAGTAGTCTTATAGCACGACATTCAGAGTCCGGAATTAGACTTCGAAAAGTCGCGGTTCCTATTATCGAGGCGTTCCAGAGCAAATTTAGTGGCATGAACACTGAAGCAGTTACTGAAACAGTTACTGAAACAGTTGCGGGTGGTGTAAAGTTGAGTCTGGTGGACATGTCCCGAGCGTTAGGTGGCCTAGAAGACATCCCTGTACCACAACCTTCGTTCTTTAGGCCGCTCCCGATCGCATCAATGTTATGTGGTTGCGTCATTCCTGGAAATGGTAACGATGTCCCGTATACAAAATGCCGGGATGACTACGACCCGGCTGTAGACGGACTTATTACCGAAAATCCGTCCGACCCGGCTGTAGACTCAACCTCCCGAAATGCTTTTGAATGGACTGGCTATGGCAGATTACTTAAGACGGATGAGCTGGCTGAGCAAATGGGGATAAATTCATTGAAGCATGAATATACCGCGTACGCTGTCGGTCTTGTATTGTTGGGTTTATATAGTAACTTGTCTAACTGCAAGGATGGTAACTCGTTTCGGAAGACTGTATGTAACTTCTTGGCAAAACTTGAAACTAAAATCTGGAACCGAAGCCGTGTCGGTTTCTTAAACTTACCTGATGAAAACCTCTTCCGAGGGGAAGCAATCAACAAATCCAAAATAGATATCTATCTCGACGACTTAAAATATAGACTGCAAAACGATGGTGTTATCGATCGGTACTTTGATAGCGACCCCAGACACTTCGAAGCAGAACTAGCAATACTACAACAAGAAGATATCACTGGACACCCCAAGCCACGCGGGAACCAGCCTAAGCGCAGCATCAGGTTTTAATTAAGCCCACTAGTCCGCCGTCCGATATCATACTCTTTTTTCAACACCTTTCCATTGTTTGTCCGGAGTCGGGCGGGTGTGTTCGAAACTGGATAAGTCCTTCTTATCGTGATCGCGCCAAAGGCGAAACGGTAATCGCATGAGGGACGAGAAAAAAACAGGGTTACCGACAGAGTAAGTCGGTGGCCGGTTGCAAAGGGAAGGAGGCGCCGGGCTGTAGTCGTTGGCGAGACAGCCGCGCGGGCTCCGGGTGCGTGAAGGAAGTAAGCCCCATCTCCGCTGTGGGTAGACATTCTCCCGGTACTTGCCGTGATTGGGAATGTGGAGTGCGTTGGCATTCGAGATTGATATGGGCGGCGCGCGTATGGAGCTGCGCGTAACGCTTCAGTGAGCTGCGATGCCGTGGTAGTGATGCAGGCAGGCAGACGAGGGACGCGGATAACGGGAGCGGTCAGGTGGACGCCGGAGCGCGGACGAGTGCGGTTCTAGCAAGGACCCGACAGGGCCGGTTGCGGGGGTGTGTTGAGCCGTCAGGGTGTGCGACCGGGACCCGTCGGTGGCCCTCGGCATCCGACCAGTCGTTGTCGTCAGTAAAGGTAGCCCAAAGATAGCGGTGCTGTTAAAGACACAATGGCGTTATTACGATGGTGTTACTGAAGGCGGAAGTGCGCATGCGTAAGTGTGCGCATAGAAGGGAATAAATGTGTGCTGCATGTTCGACAAACTATTCGGTCGGAGTTGTGCGCCACACCGTGGTCTTGTCTACGACGGGCTTTTCGCCCGTTGGGGCAAGACCATTGGTCGTGGCGCACTGGCGTGGTGGGCAGCGCTTGCGCTGCCCACCTTCACCACTTACATGAGGATCTGTGGTCTAGGCTTTTTGGCTGGGACCCAGATCCTCGTCTACGGCGTGGCCACCGCTCACTCCGACAACAGCGCAGTCTTCGGGTAAGGCTATCAACAACTACGTTGCTTTTTGAGCCCCGC